TCCTCAAACTGTCTTTTTTACCCCATTGTTCTTAACAGTGACACCCTCTGAAAAGTCAAGTGGCTAACTTCTTTTTCTTTCGCCCAGTGGCAACAACATCTGATTCCATCTCTAAAAATGCGCCTGTATACAAAATTACCTGGACTAGTGCATTACCTCATTTCCTACCTCTGGTCTTTTGAAATAACAATCACTTGCCAACATGTACATTAAGCTTAATTCTGATTGTGTCAACCAATACTTTCATCAAAATCCGTCAACAGCTCCTCCTGCCTTCCAAATAACATCCACACTCTTTGCTTGGTATTCAAAGCCCCTCTCAGTCTTGTCCAACTATCCCAGCAAGGCAGTCTAGTTTGGTGGTTAAGGTCATGAATCTCTGGGGCCAGGCTGCCATGTTAAATGCACAGCCATAGGGACAAGTGCAGATCCCAGTTCCACCACTTAACCTCTCAATGCCATTTAATCTTGTTATAAAGACAAATGAATTAACACAAGTGCAGCACTTAGAACAGTGCTTGATATGTGACCAGGCCTAGTCTGTGTTTTACTTTGCAGCCCCCAACTCCAATTACCAATAGCCTACATTCCAGTCTGTTTGAGCCAACTTACTGTTCCCCTAATACACAAACGTTCCCTTCGAGGTAAGAGTCCACCACAGCTTAAGAACCGACTGAGAAGCTGCCAGTGCTGTGCCCCGCCCTCTAACTCAAAAGTATTTCCAGTCAAAAGCATCTGCCACAAAGGTCCTTTCCCTCCAGGAGTATGTCTACACATCTCATGCACTGAAATGCCCCAAAGGCTGTTCATCAAAGAATTTCCAGCCCGGTTCAAAGACTCTCAGTCTACAATTAACCACCTTTTCTTCCCTCTATTTTTCATTCTCCTTCCAAGTTTTGGATCAGAGACCATCTTACCACCATTTTCCACCCCCGGCGGCAGAGCTTAGTAGTTATCTTTTGCCCCTAATCTAGGCAAATGTTGAAACTCTGCTGGGTACTCTCCCTGTAACAGTTCTGTTACTGCAGATCATGTCCTCTTTTCATGGAAACATTTAAAATAATTAAAAGTAACTCTGCAGTCCCCATTCGAACAGAATAGGCACTTCAATCTCCAAAGCACCAGGTCTCACCACTAGGACAGTGCCGCCTTCCTACCTTTTCACAGTCCCTGCCACGCACAGGTACTTGTCAATGTTAGTGAACCATTTACTGATGACCAATTCCTAGGAATGGACAAATGAGAGTTTCAACATTCCCAGAAATTTCTCCCACTTTAACCTGACATAAAACAATAAATGATAAAACATAATGTATAATTTCCAAGAACAATCCAATAACTAAGTATGTGGCTCTACCAAAGCAATGCAAATTCTACTCCTTTCAACAAAGGAACTGATACTTTCTAAAAAGGCTTTTTGTTCAATGGGGAAGAAGCCTTAACTGCCAAAGACACAAAAATCTAGCAAGAACCATGGCATCTAAACCTAAGCCACTGTTTTCAAATCACTTTATGAATCCTATAATGTTTGTCCCACTGTCAATCAAAAGATAACATACCAGAAGCCAGTATTTAAACATTTTTCCCAATCCAAAGCCATCATATGTTCTCTAATACAGAAGTCATAAATTACAATTATTTTAAAGACTACTTATAAAATTTATAAAATTTTATTTTTTAACTTGTAAGAATGCATAAAAATTCTAAAATTAAAGATAACCTGAAATCAGAGATGTACTCTCAATTCTCATCATTGCTGCTACATCTGCCTGAAACATCCCTTCTCCTTAAAGACTAAAAAGGGCTTGACATTGTTGATGTCCCTACAAAAGTACAAGGAAAACAGCAGAGGAGGAGTTAAACTGAATGACTAATCACTGGTTTATAACTTTAAAAAGAACCAAGTAGTAATGCTCTAGGCAGTGCTAATCAAAGAGTAGACCCTAGATAGCAAACTCACCTAGTCCATTAGGAGGTAAGCAGAGGTGGAGAGCAAGCATTTAGAAACTCCGCCTGCCAGGGGGCTGGATTGGCTGTAGTGGGAAACTGCGAGGGGGGCGGGTGGGGGGGTGGGCGTGTACCTCATCAACAAGGTACCTGCATAATGAACATTTGTATACTTAACCCTGATTTGTACCCCACATATTTAAAACAAAAAATTAAAAAGACAAACTCTGATAGCAATCTGACAGAAAGTTTACATCTACTGAATCCAATCATTTTGAAAATGGAAATTATATATTATAGTTTTCAATTTTATTTTTCTTGCAATCCATATTTTACATATATTGAAAAAAATCAGTCTATGAAGAGCAGAAATGTTAAAAACTGGTCCTTCTGGGATATTCAATTCCAGAAAGAAGAAGTACATGTATTTTCTCTATTCCTCCCACTACGCACAACTGAAAACTTGGACATTACATACAAAACAAACGTAAGAAGACCCTTAAGTGTGGAGAGAAGAAGGCAGACTGGCTAGGGACCTCAGGCCCCAAGAAACAACCGTGAGTTCCCTGGGGTTTTATTTTTGCCTCATACACCCCAGATTTGGAACTGACAAAGGCAGCAACCTGAAACCTGGAAAGATCAACAAGAGTAGACAAGCAAAATAAGTCCCAACGAAAGCCTGTTCTCTCTAGCCAAAGTACCAAGAAAGGGACACCCTAGCAAGACAGAAAACTTTAAGGAAAACAATGCTCTACTCCAGATAAACACCACCTAAAACAACTGTGGCTCCATTCCCACCTACACCAACAAAGGTCAGGAGAGTAGCCTAGACTTCACATACTCACCAGGTTACAACAAAGCACCCAATTCCCTTCACAAAAGGTTGGTGTCAAGGAGCCAGGCTTTCATTCACATCAACTGGTAACAAGGCACTCTTCTACACCCTTTCCCCTGGGGATTCTGACCTCTACCTCCACCTGGCAGAAATAACTATCCGCACAGAAATCTATTCCCAGAGATAATATCTATCCCCCTCTCTCAACAGTTGACAGAATACCCAGACAAAAAATAAGCAAAACAGAACTCAACAGCACCAAATAACACAGCACAGCAGAGAAAATACATTTTATTCAGAGACCCATGGGATAGGTAACAAAACAGACCATACTCTAGGCTGTAAAACAAGTCTCAATAAATTTAAAAGAACTGAAACTAGAAACCAAAAACAGAAAGGTTTACAGGAAAATCTCCAAACACTTGGAATCTAGACATCACACTTTAAAATAATCAATGGATCAAAATGGAAGTTTCAAGAAAAATAAAAATATACACTGAATTGAATGAAAATAAAAGTACAACACATCAAAATGTGTGGGGCATAGCTAAAACAGTACTGAGAGGGAAATTTGTAGTGCTAAATGTCCTCATGAATATACATGCAAAAATCCTTAACAAAATATTAGTAAACAGAATTCAGCTATACATAATATAAAAAATTATACACCATGACCAAACAAAGTTTATTCCATAGATGTAAGGCTTGCTCAGTGTTTTTAAATCAATCAATATAATTCATCACATCAATGAGCTAAAAAAGAAAAATCACATGCTCAGATTAACTGATGTACAAAAAACACTTAGCAAAATTCAAAACCTACTCAGGATAAAAAACTCTTATAAAGGAACAAACAAGAACTTCTTCCACTTAAAAAGGGGATCCACAAAAACTCAGCAGTTAACATTATACACATGATTAAAGACAGAATGCTTTCCCTTAGGACCAGGAGCAAGGCACAGATGTCCTTTCTCATCATTCTTACTCAACATAGTACTGGTATTTTGGCCAGTGTAATAAGGCAAGAAAAACAAACAAAAGTATGCAGATTAAAAAGGAATAAACAGGGCAACCCCTTTGGGTCCCCTCCCACTATGGGAGCTTTTCTGTCCTCTTAATAAATCCTGCTTTAAAAAAAAAGAAGAAATAAAATGGCCCTATATTGCAGGTGACATGGTTGTCTACATAGAAAATTCCAAGGAATCTTCAGAAAAACTTCTAGACTAGGAGTTCAGCAAGATCACAGAACACAAGATCAACACATGAAAGTTATTTTCAACATACCAGCAATGAACACATGGACACCAAAATTAAAAGTACAATGCCATTTACAACTACTAAAATATAAAAAGAGAAATATTTACGTATAAATCTAAAAATACGAATCTAAATAAAGCTAACGAAACATATGTGTGGGACTTGTATGATAAACTACACAATAGCCGGGCATGCTGGCTCATGCTTATAATCCCAGCACTTAGGGAGGCTGGGGCAGGAAGACTGCTGGAGCCCAGTAGTTTGAGACCAACCTGGGCAATAAACAGAGTAAGACCTTGGGGGAGGGGGGAGAGAGAGACACTGACTACACAATGCTGATGAAAGAAACCAAATATCTAAATAAAAGGAGAGAGAGACAAACTGTGTTCATAGATTGAAAAATGCTTTACAATTTATATGGAAAGGAAAAGGAACTAGAACAGCTAAAATAACTTTGCAAAAGAACAGTTTGGGAAAAATCAGTATACCTCACTTCAAGATTCACCACAGAGCTACAGTAACTAAGACTATGTGATGTTGGCAGGAGAACAGATCAATGGAAAAGAATTAGAGAACCCAGAAACAAACTCATACAAATATGTCCAAGTGATGTTTGACAAAGATACAAAAGCAATGCAGTGGAGGAAAGTCAGCCTAAAAAACTTGACAACCATAGACAAAAAAGACCAAAAACCAAAAAAACACACAACTTTGACCTAAATCTCACACTTCATCCAAAAATTAATTCAAAATGGATCATGTAGAACTATGAAACTTTTAGGAAGAAAATCTTCAGGACCCAGGGCTAGGCAAAGAGTTCCTAGATGTGACACCAAAAGCAAAATCCATAGAAGAATAAATTGAGAAACTAGACTTCAACAAAATTCAAAACGTTTGCTGTGCAAAAGACCCTGTTAAAGGGATCAAAAGACAAGTTACAGTCAAGCTTCAAACCACATACCTGGCAAAGGACTGGTATCTAGACGTAGTATAACTCTGGAAACTCGGTTAAAAAAGACAAACAATCCAATTAGAAAATGAACAGAAGTCAGTTCCCTAAAGAAAAGATACCAATCACAAATAAGCACATGAAAAGATGCTCAGCATAATTAGCCATTAGGGAAATGCACATTAAACCCATGAGACAGCAGTACTTACCTGTCAGAGCGGCCAAAATAAAAAACAGTGACAACACCAAATGCAGTGATGATGCAGAGAAACTCATCAGTCGCAAATACACGTCAGTGGTGGGGCTGTAAAATGGTACAGCCATTCTAGAAAACGGCTCATCAGGTTTTAGAAAGACTAAACATGCAAGAACCACACAACCCAGTAATTGCACCACTGGGCATTTATCCCAGATAAAGACTTATGTTCACACAAAAACCTGTACATGAATGCTTACAGCAGCCTTACTTGTCACAGCCCCAAACTGGAAACAACCAAATGTTCAACAGGTGAACAGTTAAAAGAACCACAGAAGTACACCCACACTATAGAATAGTACTCTGCAATAAAAAAGAGGCAATTAGTGATATGTGCAACAACATAGATCAATCTCCTGAGAATTACACTGAGTAAAAAAAAAAAGCCAATTCGAAACAGTACTTATCTTATGATTCCATTTATAAAACAATCTTGAAATGACAGAAATATAGATGCGAAGAACAGATTAGTGATTGTGAGGGCTTGGGGGGAGGTAGGAGGGAAGTAGGTGTGGCTTCAAAAGAGCAACAGAAAGAAACCTTGTGGCCATGAAAACGCTCTGTATCTTGACTTTATCAGTGTCACTACCATGAGTCTGACACTGTACTACAGTTTTATAAGATGATACCATTGGGAACAACGGGATAAAGAGTACATGGCATCTTTCTGAACTGTTTCTTGTACCTGCAGAAGATCTACAATTATCTCACAATATAAAGTTTAACTAAAAAAACAAAACAAAACAAACAAAAAACCTGCACCTTCACACACTGTTCCAAGGGTCATCACACAAATGTGAACCTTCAGAATGGCTCCAACGCCTTCTTAATCCTACCTTTGTGCTGGACTAAGTGAGGAAACAGATATAAATGTAAACTATATATTCCTTACCCTCAAACACCACTCAAGTGACAAAACATAGGCATAAATCATCAGTAAATGACTTCATACAAGAGACAGGACTTGAGTAGATCTATGAATAAGAGGTAGCTCATCCCCAAGTGGAGGTGGAGAAAGGGACATCTTGGGAAGGAGAAGAAATCATAAATAAAAGCACAGAGCCCGAAATAAGCACAGTGCCCATAGAGAAAGAAGCATGTGTATGCTGTGAAATAACAGAACAATGGGATAGCAGTGTGGGGGTAATTATGAAGGGTCCCCAAAAGCCAGGTACAGGGGCTCAAATGTCACCTACTCAGAGAAGCCCTCCTCCCCTGCTCAGGCAACCCAAAGCAGCAGCTCTCCTATCCCACAACCTCTCAGCATCCTTCCCTTTCCCTCTGTAGCACTCATCATGAGTGGTAACTCAGTATTTGTCTGCATGTTCATTTGCTTAATGCTGTCCAGTTCCCAGTTATCTTGAGTTTACGGCACTGGGGCTGGCAGACATTAATCACCCATTGGATATTAATTGCATAAACGAACAAACAGCAAGTATTTACTCCTGGCTTGCTTCTGTGCAGCTGCTTCCCTCCTCTCCCTCCATTATCTGTCACTCCATGGCCTTGGTCCCTCTCTGACCAGTTGCCTCTTTTATCTGATTTCTCCTCTTTACTTCCTCCTCCACTTCATCCCAGCTCTTAATACATCAGAAAAACAAAACAGTGTATTTTAAAACAGCGGTTCGTAATCGCAGTGGTGTAATACTCTTCTGAATCTCAACCAATAAGGAACTGGATCCAAGAAATCTGTTACTGAAAACAAAGTACTAAAGTTATACGTTGTTACATAAGTGTGATAGATGTATGTATTACATAAACAAATAAGTAAAAGCAGAAACAGGGCTATCCCTGTTGTGGCCTTACTTTTCTGAGTTTGAGAGCCTTGTCCCAGACCTACGTGATCCTATCTGGTCCAAGGAAAATTGTCCATCAAGAAAAACCGGGACAATGCTTCTCAAAGTGACCAAAGCTATGGAAAATCAGAAAAGACTGAGAAACTGTCACAGACCAAAGACTGAGGAATCATGATGCCTAAATACAATGTAGTACCCTGGACTGGATCCTGGAACAGAAAGAAGATATTAATGGAAAAACTGGTGAAATCCAAATAATGTCTGGAATTTAGTTAACTAAAAAAAAAAAAAAAAAAAAAAAAAAAACGCAAAAAAACTTATATGAAACACTACTGTAAGACTAAGATTCAAATTTATTAACATTAATTTATACTATTAAAAAGTGAGATAGGGCATGCAATTGAGCCAGGGTAGCTGGAGCTTCTAGTGAAAATGCTACAAATAGATCTACAGATCTATCTTCATTTTGACTCTAGCTCCATGCTGTCACCTGACGCCTTGAGAACTACCTTGCTTATAACTGTTTGGGATTAACAACCAGTTTTAACTATTCTAGCACTCTCGTTCACATACCTAACTAGCATTTACTGAGTACTGATGGCTTACCAGGCACCGTAAAGCCTCAAGGGATACATGGTTGGAAAAGGAAGCCGCCATTGCTCCTCTCATAAAGCTTAAACTCTATTAAGAAAGCCAGGCGTTTAACAAGTATTTGCATAAATGGTGAATGCACCCAAAAGTTTTGCAGTCAGGCACTTAAATAAGTACCAAACCAACCATTGGAACATTCATTAAACCCAGTGATCACAGGCATTCTGAATAAGGGCGTCTCAGATTTCAAAGTGCACAAAAATAACCCAAAATTTTGTTAAAGCAGATATTCAGTCGATGTGGGGTGGGACCTGAGACTCTGCATTTCTTCCAGAGAGGGATGTTGCTGGTACACAAACCACACTTGGAATAGCACAGTACCATGAAGTACCACGGAAACACCCTCAAACCATCATGAAAAACACAAGCTCCACAGAGACAAGGACATGCTGTCTCCCTTACTCACCATCATACCTAGAACTGAAAACTGCGCCTCAGACAGATGGCACTCAATAAGTATTTATGAAACAAATAAACGGATGTACGGTCTGGACCGGCGCTGTTCAGTTGTAGCCAGTCACCACATTTAGCTACCGAGCTCGTGAAATGTGGCTCGTGTGACCGAGGAGCTGAATGTTTTAAAATTTAACTTAAACAGCCACATGTCCACCACGCTGGACAGTCTATGTCTACACATGGATGTGATGCAAAGAGGCCTGACTAATCGGGTCTAGCTTTGAATCCCAACTCTGCTGCTTAGCTTGTGACCTGGAAAGTTACAACTTCTTGGGCCTTTAACTTCTTCATCTGTGAAACGACAAGTCTGCCTGACTCTTGGGGTTCTTGACAGGAATTACAACAAAGCAATGTATTAAACACACGGTGTGATCACGGTGACATTCTCTGCCCTCCAGAAGCAGTTCACCAAGACGACTTTGCCTACGGCCCACCCTTGCCAAAAAATGCCCAGTGAGTTTGGTGGATGGGTCGGTGAGTTCAGTGGCTTTGAGAATGAGGACAAGGTCAAAAAACCTGGGGGCTGGGGAGACCTCACTTAGGTAGGCTGACCAGGTGAGAGAGGCAATGACAATGCAAATCATCCCAAGTCCTGGTAAGTCTTCAAATGGGTTCGGTATTGATCACGGGTGGGTGCGAGACATTTCATTCATTCATTCTTCCAGGAAAGGCTGCCACATTACGTTTAGAAAGCCCGCTATCTCCGAGTCGCAGACGAGACATTCGCCGGTTCAGGGCCGGGTCCTGCTCGGGCCGGCGGGCCGGGAAGCCCCCGCCCCCAGCAGCCGGCGCGTCCTCCCCTCCCCCGCCGCGTCAGCCCCGCGAGGGTCAGGCTGGCACCGCGGCCCCGAGCCCCGCACGGCCGGACCCAGAAGCCATATTTAGCTCGATTTCGGTCAATAAAACAAACTTCCGTCTTCCGAAGAAAAACGGTTCCAACTCAATGTCAAACTAGGACGGAAACTCGCCGCAGCTGCCGACCGGAGACCCCGCGCGCCCCGCGGGCCCGGAGTCCCGGCCCGACCCCGCGCGCCCCGGCCCCGGGCAGCGCGGGCCACAAAGGGCCGGGGGTCGCGGACGCGCCCGGGCCGCCGCCGCCGCCGCCGCCTCCGCCTTGTGCCCCCGTCTCTTTATTCATTGTATCTCATCCCAATCAATTTTTTTTTTCCCCAGATGAAAAAAGGCCTCAAAAGGAAACGTTTTGCAGATGTGGAAGCGGTGAATCAAAAAACAGCATTAAACTGATTGGCATCAAAATTGATTAGTTTAAAAACTGTTTTGAGCAGTGGAAAAGCATCTGGATAGGTGTATTGCATCAAACATACGAGTACTTTAAAGGTGACTGACTTTTTGATATGTAAGAATAAATCGAAAAATTTTTAATAAGGACTGTTTTTTGGGATCACCCTTATATACTCTCTGATATAATAAAGTTTCATGTATCTGGTACTCTATTCTTGCCTTCCCTTTTTGTTGTAGTAGACAGCTTTGTTTACTCCTGCATCAATACTACAATAGATCCTAGTTATTATAACTTTTATCCAAAAATCTTTAATATACAGGAGGGAAAGTTATTTG